AAAATGTGAAAATATAATGCATTAATTATAAATAAATTTACATTTATTAACCAACTAACCCTCAAATCATTTATTGCTTTTAATCTACAATTAATTAATATATTAATTAAATGTAGATATGATTTATTCGCCTCTTGATTAATAGCGGCTGTCATTATATTTATGGCACTCATCGATAAGAAATATATACTGAAAGCCATAATCAATACATAATACATGAAAATATTGCCCAATTGTGAGAATAATATTTGGTGTAATAATAATAAGCAAACGGGAATTATGGTAAAATTGAGCACAAAAAGGTACTGGCGCCAAAATAAATTATACGCGTGTACCAAACGGCAAACATTGTTGTGTTCAGCTATGGTATTAAAAATATTCTTGCTCAATTTTCCCCTTATCACTTGCTTGCTACATTGTTTTAATAACTTATTGACCCTGTTAAATTTGATTCGACAGTATTCGCATACAATAAAACATGTAATACCAGAAAACATAACTACTGGACCAGTTAGATAGGCAAATATCATCATGATAATAATGCCTAAAATACCATACATCATAAACTCATAGAAATCATACATTAATAGCGCTATGGATGTAGCGAACGATAGAAACAGCAAAATAAAAGTGTTTATTATTATAGGGGTAAACTTCATCATTAGTTTAACCTTATTCAATAGTGAATCCAATTTTTTGTCCATTTTTCTATTACTTTTACCATAAGTAGACAATAATTCGTGACATTTCAGGGCATTTATAACACGAAGCCATTCGTAATGTCTGTGATGTGGACTGTAATTGAATATAAATACCAAACTCAGAGAATATATAGAATTTAACAATTCTGTTGAGTATATGAATTGAGGGATTCCTCCCAAATGATGGCTCAAATCCATATAATATAAGGGTATTTCGTAACCCATTTGTATTGTCACCAAACATACGGTGAAATATATCACAAATAATACTCGCAGCCATATATGAATGTGCAGTTTATGGCTTTTAAACCCATTATGGTTTTTATTTCTTTTATTACTATTATTTAGGAGATTATATTCTGTGTATTTATTCAATATATCGGTGTCGCATATTAGGCCATATTTGTTGAGACCCAATACGATATCATTGCTGTATATTTTTGGTGAAAATTGTTTTGACTGTCTTTTACCCACCTTTGCTTCCATTTCATTGATAAAAGTAATCATGATTATTTAAGATATTGTGTTTACCTCAGATTTTAAGTTTTAAATTTAAAATTATAATTGTATTTTAAGGGCATATTTTATCAACTTTTGGTGCATAATAAGCAATAGAGATATAAAGATATGATTTATGTTTTTAAATCACGATATACAATGAATTGTGCGTGTGCATTTATATTTATTTTAAAATTTTATTATTCAAATGTACATCTAAAGGTACTAATATTAATACGATTAGACTTATTGATCTCATTGTATTATATTCACTATATTAAGAGTGTTGTTTTCATATAAAATTATATATAATATATTCTTGATAATAATGATGATATTTAGGTTTATAAGAGTAAATAAAATTTAATTATAATTAACCTAAACATAATTATGCACTACCACAATCAAAGCAAATTATAATTTTAGAATTTATCAATGTAATTTCTAATGCAATTTAATTTTCCCTACCATCATTTTCTAGCATTAAATAATAGAATTGTAATAAATTACAAATGAAACTATCTAATGGTTAGTATAACATAAACAATATAAACTTTTTAATAAAATATGAACACACAAATATAATTATATACAGTATATTGTATAAATTTTAATATAAATTACAAAATTGCCGTTTATGATACTGTATTACACAGTACTACATTATTTGATTTAATACAATTTATAAATAATAATAACTTATTTATTTCATATGCCAATAAATCTAAAAGCATTATGCTACAGTATTGGCCAAATTTATTAATGTAATTGTATTTTTGAATTAATAAATGTTATTCAATGAAGGTTATTTATTTAATACATTTAAGTTATTGTGTACCCATAATTATTGTGTACTCATATTAATAAAATACTGATATATATTTTAAGTTATATAATTTATATTTGAGATCTATTTATCAAATACATGATATCAAAAATGTATCATGTCAAAAGGAAAACATTTTTATATTACAATTAAAATATTTTTATTAATGATAATATTAAGATTACTAATTAATAATAACTTCGTTATGTTTTAGCAAAGTTAATAATTAATGAAAAACATGATGCAAATACAATTCTATGATTTTAACTATTAACATTTCAATGCTAATTAAGACGGTAAAATTAATTAAATATCATATGTATTTGACAAATAAAATTCTCAATAAGTTACAAATATTAATTACATTTAGGAAACAGTATCACTATATAAATACCATGACAAAACACACACTTTTTAAAAACAATATAATTTTACATTTTAAATATAATTTACTAAAAAATTAAAACCTAATAATGAAATTATATTTTCTGATCACTATTTCCATTGCGTTGCTATTAAATGGCGGCAATAATGTGGCCGATTGTGGGGAAATCATAGCCGTACCCGGATCAAACTGTCACCTTGGTCAAGCCATCAAACGTATATATAAAAACTATAAATTGCAAACTTGTTAACATATTTAAACTATGGTAAAATAAATGTAAATTTTTGAATGACTAGATATGTTTGAATTGTCTGGTATGACACTGGCGGACATGGATCGGGTCAAGATTGAGGTCTGCAAACGTTGCGAATCCTGTTGTAAAGCCATTGATCTGATCGAGAAGACCGTCATCGAAGATGTTTAGACTATTATTACTGGCTAATTTACGGCTCAGCTCTGATTATGCCTGATGATTTATTTATTTTAATTAAATTTATTAATTTTAATAATTCACTTTTAATAATTTATTTAGTCTTAACACTTGTTATAATTGTACTTAAATATTTAGTTTTTAATAAAACACAAGACAGTATTAAACTTTAAAATATTTTAAGTTAATTTCCAGTAATAATAACTCTAACCCATTATTGGCTATTTTAAGAAAAACCATGATTAAAACAGCATATTTAACAGTTTTGGTCATAATATGTTTAAAGATGGTGAATCTGGCAAATTTACTTATTTTTAATTATAGCTCAAACTTTTATTATACTATTAAAAAGTTAATAAGACTTACAGTACATGTTCAATTTTCTCAATTATTCAATTGTATATTTTTTAATAAATAAACATTTTATTTAATAATATTTAAGAATATTTAATATTCTTACACCGTATATAATTTTTTAAGTTTTATGTTCAACAAATAAATTAAAAATATTTACCAAATATAAGCAATACATTTGTGATAATAAAAGTATTTTTATTGTATCTTTCTTGTTATAAATCATTCAAATTAAATTATTTAAATAAATTATTATGGTTTTTTAATTAATGTATAGATGAAATAAATATTAAATAAACATAGTCTTTACATGGATGAATGTTAAGTATGCAACCTTCAACAATGCATAAAAATATTAATATTTTACCCAGAAGTTTATATTTATAATATTACAAGTTTATGTAAAAAGATGTATATCTATGCAATAAATTAATTACAATATTGAACATAAATAATTATAATTAATTAAATACTGGAATAAAAGAGACAAATATTAATGTATAATAACATTAATTTTAAGTAAATGTCAAAAAATTGTGTATAAATTCAATGAAAAAACACAGAATA